AAAGTTATATTTTAAAATATAAAATTTAAAATATAATTTTTAAAATAAAATAATTAAATTTATTAATATAATTAATTTATTTTTAATACTTAAAAATAAAAGTTTAATATATTAATATATATTAATAAAAATATTAAATAAATAAGCTTAATTAAAATTAAGAAATAAAATAATAATTATATTTTTTAAAGAGCTTTTTTTATTATTATTTAATATTTTTATTATAAATATTAAGTTTTTTACTTTTTTTATAATTTAATTTTAAATTTATAAAAGTTTTTATTAATAAAAGATAATTAAAATAAAAGATAATTAATATCTTATTAATTTAATTTTATATATTTTAAGTTATAAAAAAAGCTAATTATTTAATTAATATTATAAATTAATAAATATATTAAATATATTTTTAAATATTTTAATTATTAAATATATTTATTTAAAAATAATATTATTAATTTAATAAGGTTTTAATAATATTTTATAAAATATAAAAATTATTTAATAAATAGCTTTTTTATAAAATTTAAGCCTTTAAACTTTTTTAAATTAATTTATAATATTTATTTTTATTAAGTATTATTTAAAATTATAAATAAATAATACTTAATAAATAAAAAAATAAATTATAACTTAGCTAAGGTTTTTAATAAATATTATTTTATAAATATATTTTATATTAATTAATAAAGCTTTAAGGGTTTTTTTAAATAATAATCTTTTTATTAACTTAAAATACTTAAATTAAATCTTAAAAGTTATTTTAATTTTTATATAATTTAAATTACTTAATAATAATATTTTTAAAATCTTAATTATTATAAAAATTATTAAGCTTAAATAAGTAATTATTATTTAATAAATTTTAATATTTTTAATTATAATTATATAATTAATTTTTTTTTAATAAATATTTTAAGTAAATATAATAATTATTTAATTAAAGAGTTTTTATTATTAAGTTTTTATTTTATAATTTTTTAATTAAAAAAGCTTTATTAATAAAAAAGGTATTTCTTTAATTAAATATTTTAAATAAAATTAAATTTATTATTTAATTTAATTTTATATTAAATAATTATAAAAAATATAATAATTTAACTTTAATAAATTTATAAATATTTTAATTAACTTTAAGGCTAATTTAATTAACTTAAAAAACTTAAAATAATATTATTTATATAATTATTTATTAATTTAACTTTATTTCTTTTAAAAGATTTTATATTTTATATAAATAAAAATATTCCTTAATTAAATTAAAGGCTATAAATTTTAAAACTTTATAAAAAGTTAAAAAAAGCTTTATATAAATATATATAATATTAATACTTTAAGTTTTTTTATAATTTTTTAAATTTAAGTATAAGAATTAAAGTTTTAAATATAATTTAAATATTAAATTTAATTTTAAAAAATTTTAACAATTTTAAGCAAACCTTATAATTTTAATTTCCTTTTAAGTTTTCTTAATTATATAATAAAAATGCTAATTTATAAAATATAAATTTTATATATTATAAATTAATAAAGCATAATATATATAACTTAATAATTAAAAAATAATATTTAATTAATACTTTATAATTTAAATAAATAATAATTTATTAAAGCTTATATAAAAATTTAATATATTTTAATTAAAATTAATTTAAATAAATTTTATTTAATAATTTTTAATAAATAATTAAGCTTTTATACTTTATTAATTAATATAATTAATAATAATAATTATAATTATTAATTAAATTTATATTTATTAAATATTAAATTTAAAGATTATTTTAAAATATCTTTAAGAAAATTAAGCTTAATATTTAATTTTTTAAAATTAAAATATTTTTTTTTATTATTATTTAATTCTTAATTACTTTAAATTAAAGATTTTATAGCTTTAATAAATTATATATAATAATATAATAATTATAAAAGATTTATTAAATAATAAATATTATTATAATATTTAATAAACTTTATATTTTTTAAATATAATAAATAAAAAAATATTTATTTATTTAAAAATTATTATTTATAATTAAAATAATTATTAATATTTTTTTATTAATTAAAAATTAAAAAATAATAATAAAAATATAAAAAGAAATTATATATTAAATTTATATTTTATTTATAATATATTTATTATAAATTTATAATAAACTTTATCTTTTTTTAATAATTTAAAAAAGCTTAAGTTAATACTTACTTAACTTATTAATTATTAAGAATTTTATAATTTAATTTATAAATATTATAATATTATAATAATAATTATTATAATTTACTTAATCCTTTTATAAGGTAATTATATAATTAAGGCATGTAATTATAGCTATTATAATAATGGAAATAAAGGTTTGAAATTTAATATCCTTTGTGAATTTAAGGTAAATTTATAGGGAATTTCTCTATTTAAATATATATATGGTGAATTTACCGTGAAACTATATATTTATGGTGAATTTATTGTGAAAGTATCGTGAATTCATAGGTGCTTATAAATTCACGGTGAATTTACCATAGATTTACCGTGACCCATTCATACTGCATTAAGAATCACGTAATTTTAAAAAAAGATATAAGTTAAACTGCTTTATGCTTAAGGTTCTCATTATTAATAACAATAGGGTTATTTAAAAAAGATCTTATTTATAAGGAAAGGAAAAGTTAAGATATATAAAAGGGAAGGGTTTTATATAAGAATTAATTAAGGGCTTTACGGCGCTTAAGGGCACATTAAGCTTATTAACTTTAAATATTAAAAGAGAAAAACTTATTAAAAGCAAGGGGGCTTTAAGGAATTTAAGAATTAAAGCATAATTAATATAAAGACCCTTAATAAAAAAGCTTATTTACAGTATGTAAATTAAGAATTGCTAAAGTATAAAAATAAGCAAAGGCATTAATATAATTAGCTTAGCAATATCCTTATTTAACTACTTATTAATACCCTCCCTACTATTATTAAAATTATTATTAGCATTAAGGAAAGCATTAATATTATAGCAAATAATATTTATAAAAAAGGAAAGTACTTATAAGGTAGCTAAGCTAGCTATTAACTAAGTGCTTACCTAGGGCAAAGTATATGCCATTATAATAATATAATTATATAAAAAAGAATAAGTAATTATTAAATAAATTTAAGATATAGGAAGTACTTAATTTAAATATATTTTCAACCTTATCTTTATTATAAAACTATAGCTTTTTTATAAATAATAATAATAGCAATAAAGGCATTGCTAATTAGCTCTTAAAGACTTTTAATTATTTAATTAAGAGCATTATTATAATAAAAGCCTAAAATACTTAAGAGATTAAGAAGATTATATTTAATTAAACTTAATTTAGGGGCCTTTTAGCAATAATTTAATTAAAAAAATCGGTATATTTATACTTTTAATTAATATAATGGCGTAAGGGTTAGTAATTTAGTATATAAATGCTGATTTGCAGCAATAAAAAGGGCCTATTTACTTATTTACTGTTTTCTTTTAAGTCTTTTAATTATAAGGATATTATGCCCTTATCGCTATAGCTTATAACCTATTTATTACTATTTAGTTGCAGCTAGTAATAATTTTAAGAGCATTTTTTTTATATAAACTTACCAGGAAAGTTATTCTTATAATTAAAAGGTAATTAAGAAAAGTTTTTTAACTTTTAAAAAGTTAAAATAATATATAATATTATATCTTAATTATTAATTTAAGTTAAGTTAAAGGCCTTAAACTTTTAATAGGAATTTATATAAAGAGATAGCTAGCTTTAAGATTTATTAAATTTAAAGCTAACTTATTATATAATTAATTATTATATTAGCTAATTAAAAGAGTTAAAAAGTTAATTAAAGGGGTAATTAATAAGAAACTACTTAAAACAACATTATATGCAGTGATTATCATTAAAAAAAAACATTAATAGAGTAAATTAATAGCAATGATTGTAAATAGCGCTTTAAAAGAGGGAAATAATAATATATTATAGTATTATGTAATATAAAAGGGTTGGTTATGTAATAAAGGGTATGTAAGGTAGGCAAAGGGTTTGCAGCTTTGTAGTTATAGGGCTTAAGTGCTGTAAATCAACCCTAACCCTAAAAAATAAAGGGGGAAATAAGGGGTTTAATGATAACGAGGTTCCTAAGGCATAAAAGCATAAAAAAACGCTCTAACGGGGCGATCAATACTACGATTATGTTTAAAAAGAGAAGAAATGAGGGTCTTTAATTGGTGGGAATAGCGTTGCATCGTTAGAAGGGGTTGTAGCGACATGGATAAAGATTAAGGGAAGACCCTGTACAGTAAATAACCGGGCTAGCCCGATTCATGCGCTACGTCAGTGGCCAGCTTTTTTTACACGTACTATAGTATACGACCATTATCATCCGAGGTCAAGAGAAGCTTCCCGAGGCAGACTGGGCTACAGTAGCTTGCTGACTTACTCGTCGATCAACCGGCCCCCGATTCTCCTCCGTGTGGGGAAGCAAAAAAATCCGGGGGACGGCAGAAAACAAAACAGCAGACGTCGACGTCCCATTCTGGCCCCCAGGGGTCCACAGCAACCTCCCATCGGGTCTCCCGTCATCGGTTCTCGGGACGAGGGCTGGGCGGCTGATGGGTACATCATGTCTAGGTCCACCACGGTTAGTATGAGCGTCTCGTATGGCTCTTCATCGAGATGGGTCACTTCCCGACACCCTCATTGAGCGTCTCCTGAGTTGCCAAGAACATACAGGTGGTTAACATAGCCCAAGTACAAATCAGGCACAACGCCCTCTTTTGTATTTCTGATACCACCTGCTATTCACGCCTGTTGTACAGAAAGACCCGATCAACTTTGCAATGTCTCACCCGTGCACTTTACTCCCTTCTGTCTAGAACACTAGTTTACGGTTTAGTGTGTGGCACGCCGAGATGTGTGTAGAGGAGACGCTTGCATTTGGTTCAAGCGGCAAAACATGCGCAAGATCATGTATTATCAATCCCGGCTTGGGTTCATTCGACATCGTTCATGTCCACAGTTTGCTGTTCATCCTGGTATGGGCCTGGCTCACCCGCTAGGGAGGAGCCTGGATTATGGCAAGCGTCAGTCAGATGTGCTTCTCATTCCTTCTCTTGTGGGAAAACCTCACCCGTGTTCGAACCAGTGGTGTTCGCCGTTCCAATCAACTCAGAAAGAGGAGCGATGGTCCCCCGGCGACGCAAAACATGACTGACATAGTCGATATGTGCCGGGTTGGCGTTCTGGAGCATGGTGTGCAATGCCACGCCTTGCTGCCCCGCGTCCACGACATAGAACCACCGTTCGAGGGCATTCAGCTCGTCCTGGAACCTCCGGCCCGAGGCCGCGGCTTGCATACCTCGCACCAGTGCAGGATCAAGCAAGGTCGCTTGGCGGCTGCCTTCGGCCTCCGAGCGCCTGTCTCGCAATTCGGTGGCCAGTCTTTCCACCTCCCTCCGGGCCTCCGCCAGCTCCCCGTGGAGTGTAATGTGGTAGCCTAGAGGGACCATGAACGTACCAGATTGGCCCGAGTTTTCAGAAATTGGAGGCAGAGGGCTGTTGAACGATGTTGGCCGTGCATTTCCCGTGCGACTTCCCATGTGATGATGTCGCGCCGTTGACGGAGAACCTGCGTGCCCATGCTCGTTGGCACGGTGGAATGCCGGCAAGTGTTGGAACTGAGTGGTTATCTTGGCCATCACCATTGGTGAAGGCAACGCATACGCCACGCAATCGCCATCGACTCCAAGAACCACATAACCGTAGAAGTGCCCTGTTTGGGCGTCGATTACGGCCGAGCCAGAGTCTCCTTGCCTCAATGGCTTTGAGAGCAACACAGTAAGCAACTGCTGAAAGGCACACGACCTGCGGATCTTGAGCGAGACTGCATCCAATAACATGTTTCCAGGGATGGGCCCCCGGGAGGTAATCGCCAATATGCTGACATTTTCATTCTTGGAGCTCGCAATGTCGTGGACTTGGACGCCCCGTGATCTGAATGGCTCGTCCAACGTTACCTCATTGAGCGCCTTCACTAGATCAGATGTCTCTGCTGGTAGTTTGATCAAGAGGTAGTCTAGCTCCCCGCCATAACCGTCTGGCATCGGGAATGAGCCCAGGAGAGTGGACGACTTCCATTCGTCATGCTCCTGAACTGTGTGCACTGGGCTGGGAGACATCATTGGTGAGGTGAATCTCTGAGTTTCGAAAAGTCGCGTGTCTGGTGTCTCGGGGTATGAGTCCGAATAGACCGAAGACTGTTGGGACTGTTGCTGGTCTGAGTCGGGATCCGTCCAGGTGTCTCTCACGAGGCCTCGAGGGCTGAGACTGCCTCTGCTGAGAATGATGTGTTCGTCATCCTCCTCGTCGGATTGTCCATCAAACTCACACTCATCTGCGTCCCAGTCCTCCTCTTGTGGAGCTTTTGTACCAGCAATGGGCTTGGTAGCATGGGCAACCGTCAATTGGTAAAGATGGCCGCCGAGGCGCACGATCGGCCCACCCGTAGCATACTGTACGGTCCAGCCACTTTGGCCTGAGGCAACGAACCCGAGTTTCCTTCCAATTCCCGGCTCGGTCAAGCCATATACGTCGACTTTCAACGAACTTTCCGTACATGGGTTGATATCCAAGTATATGCCCTTGCCCAGAGGTTGGGGTACAAAACTGGTCTCAAAAGGGAATGCGGTTGAGCCCAGTCCGAACCCAGAGTTTTCCTGCCGCTCAAGAAGCTCACTCTCTCGGATCAAGTCTTTGGCTTTCTTGCGCGTTAACTTGTCGGGGCAGCAAATCATAACGATTGGTTTGACTCTCTGCTCACTCCTCCCCATCATGTATAGTTTTACTATCAACTTCTCGCCCTCTGGTAATTCGATGTTGTTCAGGATACCTTCGATCTCGGGACGAATCAATGAGTTGTACCGTTCCAGTGCTGGCCCGCGAGGGAACCACGCAGCGGATCTGCCAAGTCTCCTTGTACGCGTGTTCACTCTGTATCCCATGAAATCCGTTGGATCGGGCCAGGCTGGTAGAGCCCAACGGCTCTGCATACCTGACAGCCCCATGCTGAATGCGAGTGTAGGCTTAGCACGATGACGACGCGAATTGTGTGTCTCGCCCACTTTCGATGTTCATACAATGGTGTATTGGGAACCAAATGGAACGAAATATGATGACATGGGCCACTTTGGTACTTTTGAAACCATGGGCGAAGGAATGGTTCTGATCTTGAGAGGTTGGTAAGGCTCCAGGGCTGAGTCGGAGTCCACAGAACTTTGGCTGTGCATACTGGAAGCCAATTCTGATACAAAACAGCGCGGCTCGTCTGCCCTGAAAATGTACTGAAATGAGTGAAATTTGTTGCATCTGCTCTTTCTTTCGAGACAAATGAGACACTTAAGTATAAATAGGTGAAGGAAGGGGCTGATTATGCGTTCGATCTGCGGAGCGGGCCATGTGTTACCATTCGCATTCCAAGCAGGCAGAGTTCGCATTAGGGAATAGAATGGTGTGCAGCACGCGGTCAGCAGCTGCAGGCCTGCGGCTCGACGCACCCACCCATTTTCTCAGGCAGACGCAGCCTTATGCCGTATTAACCCCAATTCTTTCCCACAAACTTTTTGCGTCCATGCATATGAATGGCTCTGCTTTGGTGTCATCCCTCCTTGACTATAACGTCTTCGTTCCCAGCTGCTTTCATGATCATATTCACTCCCTGTTAAAGTTGTTTCTTGAAACGATCAATGGCAACGACTCCTCATGCATGGGATTATAGACAAATTCTGGGGGGCGCGGACGCAGAATACGAATGACCGACTTTGCAACGGTGAACCGATCACAAGTCTGCAGCATGCCGCCTACACAAGATGCTACATCATTCAGCGAAGCTACTTGACACACGAGCTCGGGGTACAAGACAAGGTTCAGAACAGTGGCTTTGTCTACCGGAGCGATGTTACACATCAGGAAGTGATCTCGGGCGTTCAACAGCGGCTCAGCTTGGCCAAAAGCCGGGTGGGCGCAGAGTATTGTAAGGAGGTAGTCTGCTTCACTGCGCGGCTACTGGTGATGATGAACGTGGGCCGATTCATGAGCGAGGCACATCTTCGCAGGAATGTTCCATGGGAGTCGAACTCACCCAGGGACTGTGTGGACGACTATTTTGCCGAGGCTCCCAGGATGAGCTACGAGGGCGTTAAGCTCCCCAAATCTTTCAACGCATGGAGCGTTGAGACTGTTGGGGGCATCAAAGTCAGGCTGACCGACAACCTCGCTGATCATCTGCTTCTGGTAGAAGATGACACTACCGTGCTTGTTTTTCATCACGCGTCCTTTCTGGAATGTCAAGACACAAGGCAAGTAATCGAAGAGAAGGACAAAATTTCCGGTGCAATGCAAGTTCTGCGTTCTACCATGGCTGACAGGCTTCCAAATACAGCTCCGTCCTACCCATAGGTCTTGCCCAAGAGACACTCAGGACGCTCGCCCTCCTATTCCCCCAAGCGGAAATTTCCAGAGCACGAGGTGCCGAGCGAACCAAGACAACGTGGCTCAAGAAGCTGTACGAGAAACACGAGAAGAACAAGTTACTCGTGGACAGAAGACTCACCAGGTGTGGGAATCTAAACACAAGTGACCGCCAGGTCCAGAATTTCAAATTCTGGAGAGACCGGCTGGTGGTTCTAAAGGAAGCTTATGACGAGGCAACTCCTAGCACTCTTTGTCAGTGGTGGCATGATCGTCGTAATGGGGTGCAGTGGTACACGTTCTGGGTAGCGGTGCTAGTTCTGACTCTCACGATCTTCTTTGGGCTCATCCAGTCTATAGAAGGAGCTCTCCAGGTTTACAAGGCATATCATCCTTCCGCTTGAAGGGCTATCACTGATATTGATCGGCTTAGTGCCACTCAAAGACTTTGAGAGCCGCAAGACATGAGTGAAATTGTGGGCAAATTTGGAAAAGAGATATTCGCACCTGCGAAAACGGAGGGTACACCCATGAATCACTAGCACTAAACCAACACCCACACCCAATCCGCACGCCCAACGCCCAATTTGTATACCTAATTAGCACATCTCATTAGCATTAGGTGTGTGAATTAGCTGTGCGAATTGGATGTGTGAACTGGGTGTGTGGGTCTTGGGTGTGTAGGTCTTGAGTGTGTAAGTGTTGGTGTGTGGGTGTCCTGAGTGATGCGTTCTGATTAGCTGTAGCTATGGCACGAGTGATCTACGGGTGTACCCTCTGTTTTTGCGGGTGCAAATATTCGTTCACATTTGGAAAACTGGCACGATTAAATTAAGCCAGGTGTCGAAACATGTCGTTGTGACTGAAATGGATGTTGGATTGATGTTGTCTACAACTGGTTGCACAATAGCTGAGTTGCTATCACTAAAGATTCAGGGAATACCACGCGTATACTCGTACAAGACTCTCATCAAAACTTAGACCGGCTTATAGCTGTAGCCCGCTCGCATAAACCAGCCTCCCCTGCAACTTGGACCATCATGCTCTGCCAGCGGTTCAAATCACCTCAGCCGAGTTGTCATCACAATCCTGTCATCCTCCCGAGAATCTTGTCTTCGAACAGTCATCAAGAACACAGGCCATGGATACGGAAGAACTCCCACCTCAGGCCGCAACAATTTAACGCCATGGACAGAGTATCTAACACCGGCCGCTGGAATCATTGAGTATAAGAGCGCCTAACATAATGAGATGGACATGAGGCTGCAGTGATGAGCTGCTTCTCTGTGATTTCTGATTTGTTGCCGGTTGATGCTGTTAGACATAATGATTTATAATGGAAAAGAAAATGGCCACATATTGAGCTGCAAGGCTTTTATCATGCGGCTGACGTTAAGGGAATCAAGTATGATATTGGAGTAGACTATGCTAGTTGCAGTAGGGACAAGACGCGGTAATTTGAAGGTTGAGATTAGGGATTAGACGCACCAGCTTGGCTCTATATAGTCATTTATCTTTCTGGCATTTACTATACTGTTGGACTTTTACTCCCAGGTCTTCTTGTATTCTTCCTAATGTCTCTTTTTTCGCTTTGAAGCGCTCTCAATTCAGTTGGGGCGTCCAGCAGAACAGTGCCATAGTCACTTGGTGGTTCGTTTTTGATACTCAAGATATTCACTGTCAAATATTACTTATCACGTCTTAGTGCTTACATAGTGCCCAAGTGCCTAAAATGGACAAGGTGATTGCCTTGGCAGGTAATTGCGGTGCGGGGGAGAGGATTATCATCCAGTATATATATATCACCGCACTTAATGAAGCAATGAAGCAAACGATAGTTGATTGTTGTTGTTAAGGAGAGAAATCTCCCCGCTATTAAATGCTTAAAAGGAGCCTATTTATAGGCTAGCGCTAGCGTATAAGCATACAACCCTTGTACCTTTCAATACACCCCTTATTATAAGTATTATTATCCTAATAATAATAATAAATATCTTATTTTAATAGCTAAAAATATAATTTAAATATTTTATTATAATTTATATTAAGATTATTATATAAATATTATTTAACGCTTATATATTTTGCTTATATTATTTTTAATTAATTATTTAAATACTCATTTAATAATATAAATTTTATACTTATCTTAATCTTAATTTTATATAAGCCTTTTTAAAAATAAGGTAAGGTAATGCTTTTATATAAATATTAATAAGATTATTTTTAAATGCAATATAATGAATATTATATATTTCTTTAATTTCTTTATAAATAAAATAATAATAAATAATAATATATTTTAATTAAGCGTTAACTTTATAATTTTAAATAAGGTTTAATGTTAGTTAATTATTAATATATAAAATAAATAAATACTTAATATATTTAATATTTAAATCTTTTAATGCTTAAATTATTTAATAAAGATATAATAATATTAAGGAATATGCTATATATTCCGCCTTATAAATAAATTTTATAATGATAAATTAACGCTTTAATAATTAAGTAATTAAGCTGCCATTAAAAAGCTATATATATTTGCTAAACGCTCTTAAATTATTTAAATTAATATTATAAAAAGTATTAATGTATATATTAAGTATAGTAAATTAAAATAATAATGATAATTTTAAACATTATAGGATATAATTTAATATATGCTAAATATATTAAAGCACTCTCTTTATAATGTTTAAATAATAAGTTATAAGTTTTATATTAAATATTAATAGCATTATATATTAAAAACAAGCTACTTAAATAAATAAGGGATAGGTTTTGCTAAATCCTCTTAAGGGTAACTTAAGGAGGAGCTTTAATATAATAAAGAAGGAAGATAGGAATAAAAGGGAGGTAAAAAAGGGAAAAGGCAAGTATTTTAAAAATTCTTAAAAATAAAAAAAGCTTAATTAAAGCATTAAATATATAAAAAAAGAAAAAAGTTAATTTCTTTAAAAATGTTTAAAATAAGCATAAAAGTTAGCTTTTTATAATTAATTAAAATTTAATATAATATTATTCCTTATATATTTTCTTATCTTTATTAATATATTTTTCTTTAAATACTTTATAATAAATATTATAAAAATTATTAAAATAAAACCTTATTACTTTTAATTAAGCCTTTAAATTTTAAAATTTACCTTATTATAATTTTAATTATTATTATTATCTTTAATTCCTTGCTTATTTATTTTATTATAACTTTTGCTTTTTTATAAAAGCTTTAAATATTTTTAAAATTTACTTAATAATATATTTATTAATTATATTTTTTTAATTATTAAAATTTAATTTAATAATTAGCATTAATATAGCTATTAAAAATTTAAATATCTTTATAAAATAAAAAGTAAATCTTTTTTTTAATTATTATATTAAATATAGCATATTAACTTTATTAATTTCTGCTTTTACTTTTTATAAAGCTTTTATTTTTAAGTTTTATACATTATATTTAATTATTTAATTAACTTACTTATAAGCTTTTTAAATTATTTTTAAGTAAATTTAATTATTATTTTAATTATTTAAGGTTAATTAATATACTTTAAGTTTTATTTATATTTATTATTAAGAAAGGTAAGTAAGGAAGATTTTTATATATATTAAAATAAGCATTTCTTATTAACTTTAAAATATTTTATAATATAATATTTAAGCTAAAGGCTTATTTAATTAAAATTTTACTTAATTAATTTTAAGCTATATAAAAGTTTATACTTTATTATATATTAAATATTTAAAATTAAGTTATTAAATTAATTTATATTAAAAATATTATTTCTTTTATACCTTTCTTTTAAATAATAGTAATTTTAATATATTATAATTTAAATAATTATTATTAAATAATTTCTATTTATAATAAAAGCTTATTTCTTACTTTAATTACTTTTATATTATTAATTTTAATAAAGAAAATTAATATAAGTATTTAAATAGCTTTATTAATTTTATTAAGCTTTAATTAAATAATAAATATTTAAGTAATAATATTAATAATAGCTTTAAGTATTTTAAGGTATATAATTTTAATTAAAATAGCTTTAGCTTAATTTTATACCTTTTAATTATTTTTTTTTTAATTTTTCTTAAAGTAATTTTTAATAAACTTAATAATAAGTTATTTATAAAATACTTTATTAATTTATTTTAATCTTAATATAAACTTTTTATTAAAATGTTATATTTTATTTTTTAAAGCAATTATTAAATATTTATAAATAAATGCTTTAGCATTTTTATTTATTTTATTATTTTTATTTATTAATATAAAATTATTTTATAATAAGTAATAATTCTTTAGTTTATTATAAATTATTATTATTTAATAATTAAATATATAAATAAATATAATAATAAATTTATAATTCTTTATTAATTTATATTATTAATATTTTATAAATAAAATATAATTATAATATAAAGGTTTTTTAAGTAAGAATATAATATTTTAAAAGTTAAAAAGTTATTAAGTTATAAAAGTTATAATATATTAAGTTTTTAATTTTTTATATTTATAAAGTATTTTTTTTATATTAAAGAAATTAAAAATAAAAAAGGCTTAATATTATTTTATTAAGTTTATTAATTTAATTAATTTTTTAGCTTAAAATAAAGATTAATATTTAAAACGTATTTTTATATTATTTTTATAAATTTATTATTAAATGCTATTTATTTTATATTAAAAAATAATAAATAATTAAAAGTTTAAATTTATTAAATATTATTTAAGCAAACCTTATTTATAATAATTTTTATTTTAAAAGGATTTTTAAAAAAGTTAATATTTACTTTTTAAATAAAGTTTTATTAATTTTATATATTTATAATATTTAAAAATTATAATACTTTATTAAGTAAGTTTTTAAAGTTATTAAAGTAAGGAAGTTTTATAATTATTAATATAGAATTATTTTCTTTTAAAATAATAAATTTAATTATTAAAATTAAAATATTAAAGTTTTAAAATACTTTATAATATAAAGGTAATTAAAATTATTTCTTTACTTTATTTTTTTAATTAAAAATATTTTAACTTTTAATTATAAAAAAAAAGATAAAAGAAATAAGTAATAAAGTAAAAAGTAAGTAATAAAAGTTAAATAATAAAAAAAAGATATAATAATAAAAAAAGCCTTATATTTTTAAAGATTATTATATAGGTAATTAAAATAAAAAGAGTTAAAAATAAGAAAGAAATATAATTAATATTTAATTATAACTTAAGGTAGCTTTTATAAATAATTATTACTTATTTTTAAATAAGAATTAAGTAAGAAAAAAGATTAATATATTAAAAGTATATTTTTATTAAAATAGTTAAATAATAATTAATCTTTAATATTTAATTAATAATTATATAAAGATAAGAAAGAAAAGAAGAAAAAAA